TTCTGGCAGTAGAACATAGTTATAAGTTATGAGGTAAAGAAACTTATATATGCTAATATCGTTTTTCCATCTAGACAATCGCTTATCAAATGTACATATTAGTACCAAAAATTCGTTCAAGATCTGACTGCCTTTGAATTTGCTCATTCATTTCTTGTGTCGAATATAATGCAATTGCACAAGTAAAAAAGCACCAAAAATGAAATGAATTCGGTTACCTTCTGCTTCCCCGAAGGAAAATCGTAATCGATGACAATCGTGTCTGAGCCCTTGTAGCCTGGAAGAGACTCGCGTTCATAGCTGACACTCATGGTTCCTTTTGGTTGGTTCCCTCTTTGTTCGCCCAGTAGATCACCGCAGATCGGGCACTTGTTCTGGATCTTGAGGGCTCGGGACAAGCACTCCTTTAATTTGATGTACAGATTTAAGATCTGTATAAACCTGTTTATCTCAATAACATTAAAATCCCTCTAATTAATGCACTTCATCTAAAAAAATGTCATAGTGACGTGGTTCGTTGTGTTCTATGGAAGCAATCGTCACATTTTATAAATATTTTAGTTTCATTTCCATTGATGTAAAACTTTATACTATGATCTGATATCTACCTTGCAAAAACTGTGTCCACATCGTTTCAGATCTTGTCTCTCTGTGAATGTATCCATGCAAATTGGGCACACAGCTTCGTCTTCATGGTCTTCAAACGGAGACAAGTCAGTACCCCAATCGCATGCTGAAAAATTTTGTTTTTGTCATCATATCATGATAGAATAATTTCATTTTTAGTCTGCTTACAATGTATGAGTAAACATTAATGAAAGCGATCTGTCGATCTGCTTATACTGTATATGTACATTTGTAGTGGAGTTAACCATTACACATTGCACTATATCAAAAGCACCACTTTCGAAGGATTGATAGAAATTACCAGACTCTGTGTCATGGGTCTCACGGGATGCCGTCTCAAACTGGTCAGTAGGATCGCACAGAGAAGAACTGTATACGTCATCTGCTTGGTACATAGCTCCACGCTGATATACAACACCAGAATCTTCATCGTCAAATTTCCTTGCACTGTATTTGGCCGTGGAGGTGTCATAACCTACTGCGCCTGCGCCGTTGTCATGCCATCCCAGCGGCGTTGCTTCTGCTCCTCCAAACGTTGACTGCTTTACTTTCATGTCATCAGAGAAATCATCGTCCTGCTCGAATATTTTGCTATAGATAGAGATTGTTTCTTGACCAGTGTCAACCATTCGGATTTGTCGAAGTGTGTTCCGTTCCTGTTCGACTTTCCTTTTCAGGGCTCGCTTCATTGCCGCTGCCCCCTCGTGTTTCGGGACGCCATAAATGCCTGCGACAGATACATGTAGTTCTTTATATAATTCGAGCTGACCAAAACCCAAAATTAATTCAAATAAAGAGGAAAATCAACTTACAAACTTTAAAACAATTTTTAATCCATCTAGTGTAAAATAACCAAAAATGTGATGTAATTCTGGATCAGTAGCACGTGCAAACAAGAAACAATGAATTAATTTTTTCCTCATTTTTGTGCAAAACATCACCTAACATTTAATAAATTTGTTAGAACATCATTTTTAAATTGGTCTCACTTGTTGATTTAATCGCCGCACCGTAACGAACGATTTGAATTTGTGAAAGTCTAAAGTGAGAATTTTTTATAAAGAAATCGACTCATTCGATAAGTGATAAACGGAGCTATATGGGACAACTCACCAGTACTGATGGCAGGTATTGCGACACTGTGAAGATGAAGGTTACCGCATTCAACAACGATATTTTTCACAGTTTCCCCCAGAAGGTCTTTATAACCAGGCATTCGCACATGGGGTCCCACAACATGGAGCACATAACGACAAGGTAGACGGCCGGCTCCAGTGGTCACTACATTCCCAGTGGGGATACGTCCACCATACGCTCGGCGCAGTTCAGCGGATTCTTCTCTCAAGCTGGGCCCAGCGGCGTCGGCGATTGCTTTGGCTACTCCTCCGCTGTGATGAAGTTCTTCATTAGCCGCGTTGACAATAGCGTCCACTCGCTGTTTGGTGATATCTCCTCTATGAAATGTTAGTTCAGCACCATTGTTGAAGTAAAACACAAACGGAGATGTTTTCATTTGATTTTGTGCAGTCTCTTTGATTATAAGTGATCTGTTGATCGCCTTATTTAGAGGTGATGGCTTTTCGATCGGTATTGGACTGCTGCTGGCGGTCTGCCTTAAGCTTGGTGTGTATGCTGCTGTCGGGCTGGTAGCTTTGTATAGTGCTTTGCTGGCTGCTTTAGGTTGCCGAGACAACGATTGCTTTTCGTAATTTTTTTGTGCAATGGCCTCACCAGAAAATTGCTTTGACGCCGACCCTATAGGCTTATCAGGCTTTAAAGTCTTTAAAGCTGAATTTCTCGAAGAGAGAAACTTTTTAACGATAGCATCCATGTGGATTCTATCACCAATGATTTCTAAATGTCTTGGTGAATTTTTAATAGGCCTTATTATAACCTGCGAATATGCTTTTTTAATTTTGTTCAACATGCTAGGTTTTTCGACGGAGCAAATCACATGTGAAAGTTTACTGTGCACTCTGGCGCGTAAGTTTGTCAAGCGGCCCAGTCCACCGTCACTGTCATGTTTACTTTTACCAACAGCATGCACCCTTCCCCTATTCCAAAAGAGGACTACGGTACATTCTTCTTCAATAGCGCGAACAGCCCCCTTCTGGCGGATTCGCAAGTATTCAAACTCCATAAATCTCATTGAAAGTGTACTTTCGTTTTGCATTGTTGTTCGTCTATTCATGTTGAGACGGAATGAGCTTTCTGTGCAGTCGCCCCTGCAATAAAATATACAATTTGCTCAGTTTTGATTGATCTAGTAGCGAAGAATAAACTTAGCGAAGAAAATAAAATATTCTAACACATAATTACAAATGTATCTCTTTTTTTTTTTTCATTTCCCATGGAATTTATAAATCGACACCCTTTGTTTTTCTGCATAACACACATGAAACAAAAAGTAGGCCTACGTCTTCGTGTGCAGCGTGGTGATACTGGAAGGTACAGTGTACTTGGCTTTTTAAAAAGCCTACTTGCATTAGCAATCCACTGGACCACCAACTTGAAACGCTTCTGAAAATTTTGCACTGCTTTATGAAAACATAACAGGGATCAAAGGTAGAAGCCCGGGAAGATGTCCGTGCCAAGTCTACAGCATCCTGAGCTTCAGAGATAACTTGAAACAAATCTCTACTATATATAGCCTGGCATTGTCGTTTCAAGTATGTATAGGCCTACTTTGGAATACTTACAGCTGTCTAGAAGATTTATCTAGAATAAATGAAGCGAGCGTTGGCCTAGTCCAGTGTATTTATTGGGGAATTCCCCAACCGAATTCAGTATAGAGGGCGCTTGGTTAAAGACGAACAAGAAGGCGTAAAGTTTGTGATGTTTTTGATTCAGAAAATCCTGCATATTCATAGTATGTGAAAGTAAAAAAATCAAGAGGTGGCGCGTATAAGTATAAAACTGTTTCTCACTGTTTCGTTTCTCACACAAAAATAAATAAATAAATAACCAGGGTGTTACATCTAAAATCATAAAAACTGCTCAAAGCCAGTAATCTGGGTTTAATTTTACTGCTGGGGCATTTTGAAAGTATTTGAATATAAATGCCTCCTATGTACACATTTCAGTAACTTGTAAATAAAGATCCCCTATCAGAAAATGGTGAGTGTCAAATAAAAAGGGCGCCAACTCCATCCTGCCTTCCCCCATGAATCTAATTGGACTAGCACTCATGAAAGAGATGTCACTTCTTCATCAGTTCTCGGTGACCAGGGAGTGGATGCCAGACGGTAAGGATACGGATGTTTTAGTTTCAACCGATTGAGCATATAGAATTCTAGACTTATTTATGTTAGGCATTTGACGATAACTAACTTGTGTCTCATTCTTGTTGTCTGCATGCTTAAAACTGGTCTTGGTAATGCCCTCCCCGTTTTGCTTCCTCAATATTTTCTTCAGCATTTGACATCTCTTGGTAATGAAAAAAAATGTAGTTTCACCGTAAGTTAAATATATTTTTAAAACCCTTAGTAGTAAAAGTAGTGGGAGTCGAAGTTTTGCCTGAGAAATAGTCAACAGAGGAAATGCTGTGGAATAATCCGTATAGAATTCTCGCTATTGGCATATTGTTCTTTAGTAAGCGGTTGGACGTCGAATAAAAGATCGTAGGTACAGTGATATAGGCCGACGTCAATTTCCGCGGCAAAGGTACTGTATGCGGTATTCTTTGGGAATGCAGCAAAGTATTCTAATATGAATAATGTGAGTTTTATGAAAGATTACTAGTTCAGAAAAATCATTTTAAAGCTTGTTTTGACTTTTTTATTGCAAGACAAAAGTGATGAGCTCAAAAGGTCATTTTGAGGTTATAATAGTTTACTCAAATATTTTAGCGATAGTGAAATTTTATTCGCGTCTTTTTGTACATTTTAAAGATTAAGTTCCTTTATGCCCTAAAGAGAAATTGTTTATAAAGATATAAAAGTAGCCTGAATCTTTTGGTCTTGTGAGTGAGCTCATTCTTTTATACAATGAAATGATAAATGGTCAAGATTACATTGATAAGTTAATATTTTCCCTAATGTCAATTTGAATTTTAAATTTTTGAGTACCTCAGTCGTCAGTTTGAACCCAGCAAATGAAATAATTTCACTCTCTTTCAACTACTAAACAATTTTTGAAAAATTAAGCTAAGAGCATGCAGTACGCATTAGACCTTTATAAAGAGAAATTATGGAAAATTCAACAGCTTTCCCTTTATCAGCAATGTTTACCCTCATTCAAAACCGCTGGGATAAGTCCAATATGTAAACTTGTCTTTAAAACTTCAAATTTTAGCGGTCACGATTGAGATTCGTCAGTCTTCCATTACGAGAGGGACTCTAGAAATAGAAAATTGATTTCTATTAACTCCGCCAAGGAGGTACATTTGTTTGTAATTCTGTAATGGTTTACTGTACATAAAAAAAACAGTAGTAGGCCTAGCACAGAGCTCTACCTGAACGTCACTTAATGGTCGTTTTCTAATTTTATGTTATGTACTTTTTTACTTGATTTTTGTTAAAAAGATAACTCGAAGAGTCGTTTCGGGTTCCATGTACAACATAAAATCAGCGACATGCAGGGCTGAGATTGTAGATTTAGTCCAGTTTTTTTTTTTTCATTCGTTTTCTGTTTGGACGTTTTATGAATAAAGTGCTCGCAAATTGCGCCCCCTTTTTAATTGTTGTGAGGCTCCCTCCGTCCTCTTGACACTTGTCTTCAAGACTTGCCTACCACCTATAGAAAATACGTTGGAAGAACATGGACAAAAATGTTCATTTACAGAAATTGGGGGAAAAAAGAAACAAAAGTAAATACTTTCCTCCCCCGCTACTTTTCTTTTTCTTTTCTTTCTTAATCACATCAGTTTTCAGTAAGCAGAGAAAAAGGTAATAGGCCCTGTGTCCTCTTCTTTGAACCAACTGTGTATTTAGATAAGGCTTTAAAATATAAAGTGTCATGGACCGAGGTCTTAGTAGCCATGTGTCTCGCTTCCTTTGTCGAAGTTTTGTTTTTCCTGAAAGCCCCCCTCCCTTTCTCTCTCTCTCTTTCTCTCTAGTACACTCCTAATATACAAAACAAACAAAAAAATATGCTGTAATAGATTGTATTATTTGTTAATTTTGCTATTGATCAGTATTTCACACGATATATTAACATCTACGACATAACACATTAGACATAATTGATAAAGACGAATTTACAAAATGTACCTAATATAATTACTGGTTGCAGTGCTTCATAGCAGTTTACGTTTGTCTATTTCAATTTGGATACCATGTATTGGTAAAAATTATATATATATTACTTAGGAACTTAAAGTTTAATTGATATGTACATGTAGCACAACTTATGAAGTACAACTCCCATGATGCACAGTTCACATCCTTCTACCAGTATCTCAATTTGCTAATAATTATCTATTTCACGACGTATTTAGTTAAAACGTTTTAATGTAACATATTTAAACAGTTGTCAGTTGAAATTACAATATATTTAGAAACAGGACGAAATACCCTCTATGCCTTTGGAATATTGAACATAGTTTAGAGATAAAAACATACAATTGCAAGATAAGCAGCTCATGGAATTGACGGGGGTGGGTTCATTATTAACACAGCCGAAGCCAGTCCAAATATTTTCTCTCAACTTCTGTTCGTCACACACATAATACAATAACCATTTCGTGCAAGAAGTTTCAGACAGTAAGTGAATTACAGTTAGTATCTGCCCTGAAGATGCGTAATTTTGACTTTCCCGTTACTTTATACCCTTAGCAGCCAGCTCTTCTTTTACTCTTGACAAATAAGTTGGGTCTGGATAACCATACCTAAATAGTAAACATAGTAAAATTAATACAATATACGATAAGACACGGCGATCTACGAGTTAGAGAAACCAAAGTAATCCCTGAAAGGTTGCCATTCATTTCAGACAGTTGATCATTTCTGAGGGGTCCAAGTTTTAATGGCCTGTCTAGATGGTAAGATTAAGTTCGTGTAAATAAAATTTAAAAAAAGACTCAGACTCAGACTCTTGGTGTAAACTGGGAATTATCAAAAAAGTTCAACTACAAACATGAACAAACCTTTGTGGTCCTCCAGTACGATTCGTCTTAAAGTGCACATCATTCCACACCACGGTGTCGTCTTTCCCAGTGGTGACAGACCGACCCACAGTGAACAGGAGTTTGGCATCGAATGCCCTCCTTAAAAGCTCTTTGACTTCACGGCCCTCAGCGGTATCAGGTAAAAAAGCCGTACGCCTGGTGCCTTTGTATGGATAACCTGGATGGGGGTGATCCTCCTAGAAAAGAATAATAATAATTGCAACTCAAGACAGCATTGCTGCGCTTTGTTTGTAACGTGTCCATTATGTCTACACTCTACAGCATTATCATCTGGTAGCCACAAGCAAAACCGCCGTCGGAATATTATTGAACCGCTTTACTATGAGTAGGCCCCTACCTGTTGAATCCCGTCGGGGAATTTAATGTTGATAACGATTGTCTTGTAACCCTCGTAGCCTGGCAAAGACCTGTGGTCGTGGCTAAAGTCTATATATCCGTCGGGTTGGTTCCCCCGCTGTTCCCCCAGCAGATCTCCACAGATGGGATACTTGTTTTGTACAGCAAGTTCCCTCTCTAGGCATTCCTGGAATATTAATGCTTTTTAGTTAGGAAGATTCCAGTGGGCTCCTTCTTTTTAGTATTATTTATACATGAATACATAATGTTCAAATTTCACTGTCAAGAAAGTGTTTTTAATCGTTTGGTCGATCTACTGATTGCTTCTGCCTAACAAAATTCCTTGGGCCCCTTTACACTGGACAGCGTCATTTCTGCGTCCTTTGTGCAATAGGTGAAACTAGCATCGCTTTGGTCGTAAAAAAAGAGGCACAGGATCGTTTTGGTTGCAGAATGAATGCTCAATGATCGGCCATTTGTCGGCACGTTAAGTTTTTTTTTATTTTCAAACAGGGTCGTACGCAGAAAGGACGCCGTCTGGTGTAAAGGGGGCTTCAATTCTCTCTACATTCCAGTCTGCTTGATGACGTGTTGTACAAAAATCTTCATATGCATCTGACAAACTTGCCTTGTTTTCCTCATGGTCCAGGAAGTAGTCATCCATGCTTTGTAACTCTCTCCTGAACACTTCAGCAAAAGTGTCGATTGTCCTATAATCTTTATCAACTACTCTGATTTCTCTGAAGGTGAGTGATTTTTCATGAAGTTTGTCTTGTATTGCCTTCACCATAGACAGGGCGCTCTTTTTTGTTGGGACTCCAAATATTCCTAGAAAACAAACAAACAGACAAATAAATAAATAAATAAATAAAAGTGATAATAACTAAGCATGATTAGTTTTTATTTTAAAACTATTACAAATTAAGATCTCATTGTCTAAATATTCCATTCATATGCATTCCGTCATTCTTTCCATTTCACATATCCTATTTCCAATCTATTAAATTTAAGCTATAAAAAAAAAAAAAAAAACCAAATTTAAGAAAAGAAATAAACATACATTTTGATACAGTTGCTGCACTGACTAAATAATGCAAATTTGATATTGAAAATTAAAGGAAAAACACGATCTAAGTACTTAAAATAGAGTATTGCGCGTCCCGTGCACCTGGAAATATAGCAATATCAAAGTATACTAACCTGTGCCGATAGCAGGCATTGCAACAGTTGAAACTTTCAGGCGGCGGCACTCATCTAGCACATTTCCCACGG